TATATATATAAACACACAAAAATAAGTTTTTGGGAAATATCAATATTTGTGCTCAGGTCACTATGAAGTGTTACCTATTATGTATGCTCATTTTCCATTACTAGATGGCGCTCTTGGCTCTTTGCATTACATTGTACAGTTACTCCTTGTGGTCTGCTAATAAAAGCCTCACTAGCCCAATGTGTAATCTACCCAGACTTGTAAATGAGCACTGGCCCAGATATCCTGTTTTAGGGTGACTCCTTTCCCTTGCAGGGTCCTATGGAGCCACCCTTGTGTGTGCTAGTAAGCTGTGCGTGTCTTCAAACACACAATGAGGTGGAAACGTTTGTTAAGCTAAGACTCCATTTTGTATTCATGTTCAAGACTCCATTTTGTTATACAGAAGTCTCAAGTTTTGTAGACATTAAAAAAGGAGAACTATGGGGGGTAAGTGTTTCCCCATAGTTCTCCTCAGAGTCACGGGAGGACATAAACTAGCATTCTCCCGTCACCCAAAGCTCAGTATATAGGGAGCTACAGCTCGTGGTATACCGAGACCGCCGCAGTCGGGACGGATCTCGACATTACTGTCGAGATCCACCCAGCTGCGTGAGTGACAGCTGGCTCTGCCTATCTTGAGGCAGAGTCAGCTGTACCCGCCCCTCCTGTTCCTCCAGTCAGAGCTGGAGGATCGGACAGGGGAGGGGGGGAATCCCTGCACGGAGCCGTGAGTGACAGTCACAGCTCTCTGCAGGGAGATGATCAAGAAGTGAGCAAGCGACGCTATGCGTTCGCTCACTTCCCGAGCTATTTGAGCCGACCTGTTTCATTGTCACAGGTCGGCTCGAACTATGAGGCGGAGTGATTTTCACTCACCTCATAGTTCGCCTTTAAGGGCCCAGTCCAATCATCAAGGATGCGTTCGGCCTCTGGAACGCAACCCGGTCGGCTCACTTTGTTTTGGGGCGGGAGGGGGGGGCGCATTTTTTAAAGCATTTTTTGCATTTCTGCATTGCAAAAAATATCAAATTAAAGGGCTGGCGATAGGTGCGGGTACAGCCTACCGGTGCAGACTGCCAGAGAAAAAAGCCCTGACTAATATTTTCTTTGTTCAACCTGCGGGCAGAATAAAGAAAATATAACAGATTCCTCGAGGAAATCTTCCACTTCCTGCAGCCGCTGTCACAATACCCAAACAGAGGCGGCAGCAAATTTTCTGTTGGCTCTGTTCGTGCAAATATTTTCCGATCAGCTGATTGAGGGATGCCGGCCGAAAGGGTGCGGACAGCGGCACCCACTGTGTAAATATCAGCCTGCTCATCATGAACCAGACAAAACTCACATCGGTGGTGGTGGTGCACGGCCATTCCTAGTTGGTGGAGTAAGTAGTCAGGATGATTCTAAACCGAATAAGACTAACCCATTACACAAGGCCCATCCATCCCACTTTCCTGGGATGAGTAAAATTGGGTGTTGCTTCAGTGAACTTTTGGCAAAAATCCCCATTCAGTGATCTGCATTGGAGGAAAGGTGGTTGGGGGGGGGTAAAATATATATATATTTATTTTTTTGCAGATTGTGCAATCAGCTTCTGTCAAAAAAAAAAATCCCTCACTGACTCTAACCCTGCCAGTAACCCTAATCCTTATAGTGACCCGATCCCCAGCGCTAATCATAATGCTAAAATTGACTGTTTGTTTATAAACAAAAGTCATGTGTGTCATGCGGATCACATGGATTCGTATAGAAACAAAGCGATTCATCACCAGTCACCAAGCGGCCATGGCTTTGTCCAACCTTTATATTATTGCATTTGTAATTATTAAAAAAAAAAAACAGTATAAAGATAATGGTGAGAAAACAAAAACACTTATGGGATTAGGCAGTCTTTTTTATGTGTAATATTTAAAATAGAGGACGTGGCAGGAGTGCTTCTACTTTGTCTACACCAGGGGTAGCCAAACTTTGCCCCTCCAGCTGTGGTGAAACTACAGATCCCAGCCTGCATCTGTCTCTGAAGGTTATGCCTTTGGCTGTCATACTCTTACCAGTGTCGTCACTAGGAGGGGGAGTGCGGTCTGCACCTGGGTGACGCCATTGGAAGGGTGACACCAAAATGACTGACAGTCATTTTGGCGTCACCCCCTCTGAAAAGTCAGGCACTTGGTCATGAACTGAGAGGCCGACAGTTGCACAAGAAAGGAGGGGAGCTCTCTCTCTGCCAGCATCTATCACCAAGATAGCCGCCGGCAGGCATCACCAAGATGGACGCGCATGCACTCGACATCATAACGCAGTTGCGTTACGCACATGCACAATGAAGTCACGAGCAATGACGTCACGTCGGGGGTGTCACCCGGTACCCACTCCAGGTGACACCCGGCCTCAGGATGCCCCTGACTCTTACAATGCCTCATGGGATTTGTAGTTCCACAACAGGGCTGCAGTTCTACACATTTTGTGCTACATGGCATCCCTCTTTCTCACCCCAGAGAGTTGGGAGTCATGGACTTGAAACATTCACCACCAGGCCTATCCCACAGGAGGCATAAAAAAAAAAACCTGTCATGGCTGCTGCTCTATTTCCCATGAACCCCAATTCCTAGGGACACGTAGCTGGTGCTGTGCTGAATACAAAACTCATCTCGGAAAAATTCAGCAACCAATAAAACATCTTTCTTTTGAATGTTTAAATATTAGTCCTTTTCTGAACAGTCCACTCTGCAAAACATGACAATAATCATTGGAATCATTGACAGAACCAGATAGACGAGTCCTACCCCCAACCCCTCCCCCAACAATACATTCCACTGTGCCGACAACAAACTGCCTTACCCTTTCACATGTCTGATATGTATCTCTCCCTGCGTAAAATTCACTACATAAGATGATTACATTGTCATAAAGTTCCCTGTCAGTGCAGAAGCTGGGGGAGGGGTGCATTAGCATAGGCTCTGCTGCAGGTAAAAAAATTGCAGCGGAGCCCCCTGCAGCTGGGAATACAAACTATTGCTCGGGCAGTCTGAGCAAAGCTTAAACAGTGGTGACGATTGATGGGCTGGGCAG